TCGTGAGAAAACGGGCGGCCAGTATGAAAGCCGTGTCTGCTGAGGTAATTACAGAGGTGCCGCAGTGGAAAAGCCTGGGTGACCTCATCCCAGGGGAAAAAGGCGCCCGGAAAAGCGGGGTGGGACCCTGCGATTCCCGCTCTTCACTCACCGCGGCCTGCGTCTGCTCTAAGGCGGGGGACTAGCGCTCTTCTAGCTGGGTTGTTCTCCTGAGCGGAGGCAAAGGCGGAGAGGAAGGAAGCGCAGCGGTGCAAGCACTAAGGTAAGGAAAGGGGGAGGGAAAAAAAACAGGAATTAGGAAGAAATTAGGAAGAAATCCAGGGGGAAGGACAGAAGAGCCTCTCCCCACAGCAGAAGCCTCTAAAACAGCATTTCCCCAGCTCAGGAAGAAGAAAAACAAATAAAAATGAGCAGATCCTGCCCCAGCAGCACTCCATGCCCGGCCCCGCTGCCCTCCCAACCCCTAACTGGGATGCTGGAGGCACTGGGAGCACTGGGAAGGGGCCCTCCCGCCCAGCCAGGTCCCAGAACCCAGGTTGGGGCCGGGGCCGGCCCCAGCGCCCGCTCTCAGCTGCTTCTGGGGCTGCTTGAGGGGGTCAGGATTTGGGGACCCCCCGAGAGCAGGCAAAGAGGGGGTGAGGCGAGAGGGGAAGGGACAGGGCTGCCTGGAGCAGGCGCCTGCCAGAACACAAGAGACACCCACGGAGCACACCATACTTTAATGGTCAATACTTTGCATAAAAATAGCAGGAATCACGACAATACCCACGGGTGCCACACCAGCGGCACTTCACGGCCCGGCTCCGTGTCCCTCCGCCCTGAGAGCACCAGGGAGGCTTTGGGCACCCATTCGTGCCTGGCGGTGGCAGCTGGATCACTACAGCACAAAAGCAGGTCCAGGTGAGTCGCGAGAGAAGACCACCAGTTCTCGGACGGTCCCAGAAGCAGAAACCAGTTCCACGTGCAGGCTCAGACGCCCAGTCCAGCCAGGCACACGGCAGCTCCCAGCCATCGGAGCTGGCAGAAAGTTGTTCCCGAGACCAGGAGCAGCCCGGACAAGCAGCTGAAGCAAGAACATCCCAGCGCTGCTCTGGGCTGGTGGAGGAAGCGAAGCTGTGAGTCCCCAGCACGGGGAAGGTGCTTTCTCCTTCACCTCTGTCCCATGGCAGCCTGGGGCTTGCTGCAGGCGTACGGCCGGTGCTGCGAGCAGCTGGAACTCGCCACAAAATGGTCGTTCAGGTACACGCATTCTCCTTCCCCGTGAACTGGGAACCTGCAACAAGAAGCAGAGGCGCTGCTGGGACCCTCACGTCGCCGCTTGGCCCCTCCAGCGCTGCACACCTGAAGAAAGAGAAGTGTTTCAGCCCTGCAGGAACACGGGGGATGCCCCGAGCTTCGCTTGGTTCTCCAGTCTGGGGGTGCTGTGAGTTTTTGGGGAACCTGACGGTGCGGAGACGCGTGGCGGCCGGGGCGGTTACCTCGCAGTTCTGACACGCAGAGAGCTATCCTCAGGTCCA